TTTGAAAAGTTGACCTAATTATAAATTTATAATATTGATGGGACTATATATTTACAAAAGATTTTGAAAAAAATTATTATCTTATTATTTTATCGAAATGTGACTAAAATTACACTAGTCCCAAGTTGGGACCAAAGAAATTTATTAATCTATAGAGAATATTACTTTATCGAGTATTAATTTTTAAAGGTTATACTGTAGTTCCCATACAGACAAAGATGTTTGCAATCTACACATGTAGTTTTTAGTTACCTTATTAGCTAACAAACATTCCTACACACACATGCATGTACTAACTTAATATGGATATAACTTTATTAGAATATCCTTCCACAATTCTTTTGTTTATGATTCCATTAGAAGTAAAACAAAGGTTTTGTATTTTGGATGCATCAGTTCTATTGCCATTCTATTAGTTCTCTCAAATGACTCATTAACAACGTTGCCTGTTATTTTATTTCCTTATATCTAATCTTATTTTATTTTTATCATCAATTGTTTTTATTTTCATTTGATGGATATAGTATTTCTTACACTCAGTGAGATTTTAGTGGGGCTTTCTACTAATCTCCGACACATGATCGATTGGTTGGAATATGAAAATTCACATGATATATTGCCTGAATATAGACCACATGTTTGCAAAAGGAGTAGTTAGATATTTATTCAGGAGTTGCAAAGGAAATGAAAAAAGTAGATAACATATGCATATGTTTACATATTAGATCATCATTCTATAGACGCTAACTGATTTATGGATTTGCCGAAGTTGTTGATGATAGTCCTAGAAAATCATCTACAACCATTTGTGGGTTTGCCGGAGTTGTTCCCACGATATTTGTAAGATTCATAAATATAAACTAAGAAATGGATCGTTTCAGGTGTTTTGATACAACTCAAGAAAGTTGTGAATCAGATTGATGATTACATTCAATATGACAACAATACTTGAATAAAAATGGTCGAAGTAAATAAGATTCTTTGATTGATATACGTTTAGGAAATATGGATTGCAAGAAAAAAAAAATTCCTTATCACAATAGAAAAAAAACTTATGACACTTTTGATCATGAGATGTGTTTTGTTGAAGAAGTGGAAAGCTACACCTTGTGCAGTCTTAAAATGGTTAGGCTTGAAGGATGGTGGTCTCAAATCTTGAATTACCTCACCACCATGCTTATGCTCAACTCTTGTACATTTACATTTTTCCAAAACTATAATTAAATAGTATTTCATACAATATTATTATAAAGTATTTGAAATATGAATAGTGTATTCCAAGAATTTTGGTAATTATTCATTACCCAGCTTAAAAGTTTGTATACGACACTTGCCTCTATTACGAGAGTAATTATATTAGAGTATATATTATTCAAGCACGTTGCACATGATTTTATTTTTTGAACCTCTTATGTCAATGTAATTTTTAAGCATAAATATAATCATTCAAATTGTAAAAGATAAACATATGTAATTAAACATTAGACTTATTTTATCAATTGATATACAGTATATATTGTAGACTTAATTTAGTAATTATACCCTAAACATTGAAATCTATCCAAATATGTGAGTAAACTTATAAACATAGACACAAACTACCTTTGTATGTGTATAAAAATTTATATAACTTTCATAAACACTGTTAAAATAACTTTTTTGTTTTAAAAAAACCTCTTAAAACCTTATAAACCCTTTTAAAAACCTTATAAAACTTGTAAAAACGAATTAAAGCCTTTTAAAATATTATAAAATATTTTTATCGAATCTCCCAATAGTAGTTATTATATAGAAGTACCTTATAGTCAATATAAAACTTTATAATTTTCTATATTTAAACAGAGGTATTTTTGAAAATGAATAGATAAAGGGGGTATTTTTAAAAAGGGGTACACCAAAAGTGGTATTTCTCAAATTCTCAATGATATTTCCTAACCTCCTGTTTTTTAAAAAAACTTTTCTCACATATATTTTTGACTGCGCAATGTAATTAAACATTAGACTGATTTATCAATTGATATACAATATATATTGTAAACCTAATTTTGCAATTATACCTTAAACATGATTATACCATTATTCTAAATAAAATATTATTTCCTACCCTCCAGAATTTTAAAAAACTATTCTCGCATATATTTTTGACTGCGTAATTTATCGTACTTCTTAAAATTAGTTGATTGTTACATGAATAATTTTTCTTTTTGATAAGTTTATAAATTTTATATTAAAATATTTTTAATATATGTATCTTGAATTTACACGTGTCAATATCTTATCGATACAATTGAAACATGTCACGATCTTATTTAGATTAACTTTAGATTAACTTTCTAAATGACTAACTTATCGATACAATTGAAACATGTCACGATCTTAATGACTAACTTATTTAGATTAACTTTCTAAATGAAAATATTTAAATATTAAATAATATTCATGATAATGCAAATATTTTCTAAGATTAACTTATAGTTGACTAATTTACTATATTTTTTATTTCTTTGTTTATTTTTGTTTTAGACCTAATATTTACAAATTTTTAGGGGGAATTTGAAAAATACATTATTTTCCATTATAACTTTTTAAAAATACTCCTCTTTCTAATTTTATCAAAAAGTCAATATAAAATTTGAAATTTATCAAAAAGATAGTTGTAAGCTTATATTTATAGACACAAATTATCTTTATATGTGTGTAACTTTACATATATATTTCATAAATACCTTATAAATACCTTTTAAAAATCATTTCAAAACCTTATAAAAATTTGTAAACCTTTTAAAACCTTATAAATATTTGGATGTAGTCTCCTAGTAGTAATGATGATCTTGATGTACCGTATCAATCATATAAAAGTTTATAATTTTTCATATTTGAAAAAGGTATTTTTGAAAATGGATAGAGAAGAGGGGTATATTTAAAAAGGAGTACACCAAAAGAGGGATATTTTTAAAAAGGGGTACACCAAAAGGGGCATTTCTCAAAAATTCTCAAACTTTTATTACTTAGTTTTTTTTTACAATTACTATCCTTTTTCCTTTAGGAGATTACTACTAAGTAATTGTTAAATTTCCTGAATTTTTTTTCTTCTTTCTATTTTGAAAATATTCTTTGTTTGAAAACTAATTTATAGAATTTTTACCACTAATTTTTTGACATTTGTCAATATTTTATCAGTTCAATTAACACATGCCACGGTTTTGTTAATGGCTAACTTTTAAAAACCCAACTTTATATAATAAGATAGATAGATAGATGTCCAAATGGTTAAGGCCGACTTTGAATCTAATAATATGTTTAATATCGTATGTCATGCATGTTTTTAATCTTATTTTAAACTATAAATATAATATTTTAATTTAGTCATGTGAATTATCTTCCCAAGTTTTGGTAATTTATTTTTATCACTTTAATTACCAATTATTCTTGTCATCCTAGCTCAATAATGCACTTATTGCCTCTTCAGAACTTTGATACAACAAGATCCATGCTCTCTATATACACTTGATTGATTGGGAACCTTAGAAAACTCAACAAATATTTTCTTGGGACTCAACTCAAGATTACCATTAACGGAAAAGGATCTTGCTGGCCACAAATGCTGATTTCGATGGAACTAGTGACATAGGCTTAACCCCTTTCACTATGTTACTAAGCACTATATACTAAAGCTATTTATGCCCCATTGGTAAGATTTAAGCATAAGAAAAGCTTGACTATGAGAAAATACATGTTATGGACTAAACGAATTCCCTAGAGCAGCATTATGAGATAGAACGCACTCACTAGTCTCATAACGCAAAAAAGCGTTTCCAAGCTAGCTAGTACACAAAAGAAGGCACATTGGAAATTGAAAGGTAAACAAAACGAGGACACATAAGATAAATGAAATTGATGTAAGGTCTTATCGATGATTTACTTTGGTCTGTAATCCATTTGGATAACAGGTTTGTTGTGTTATCATTATTATGTAATTTAAGAAGAGTTTAATTAGATTTGAAATTTTTTGTTTTTTTTTCCTTTTTCTTTTTGTTTTTAGGTTCAATAATTAGGATCGTTGTATTTCTACATTTTTTCAGATTTAATTAAGAGAGTGAGAGTTCCTCTCGAAACTTATCTCTTGCCTCGTCGATTTCTTGAGAACTAACATATCAATCCAAATAGAGCCCAAACTTTGTCATCGATGTAGAAATCTCCGAAAAAAAAGTTCAAATCCCATTTCTCCCCGAAATAAAAGTTCTAAACCTAATTCCCCCCGAAATCAAAGTTCGATATCTAATTCTCCCCAATTATGGGTTTTCACTGGTTTACTATTTATTTAACCTCGATGTTTGATCTCGATGTTTAGAACTTTGATCCCGATGTTTAGAACTTTTATTTCGGGGGGAAATAGGATTCAAACTCTTTTTCCGAAATATCTTCATCGGGATCAAAGTTCGGGATCTATCGGGATTTATACATTATTTTCAGGGGAAATAGATCGTTTTCCCAAAAAAAAATTGGTAAATTACTTACTTCCCAAATTTTTTTTTAAATGCATCTATTATAACATTTTTGAAGTACAATTTTCTGGCCACCTTTGGTTTAATTGTTTTTCCATCAAATGCCCCTCATCTTTAACTGAACAGTCTATTATCATCACACCAAAAAGAAAAATCTATTATCATTAAGTATAATTGTGACAATATTCGTAACGGGTCGGTTTTAATTAGTTAATTGCAACCCATATTGCTTCGAATAAATTTAGATTTATTTCCTATCTAATTGAGATTTTAGATTTGGAAGTATATATTTAGAAAAGCAAGAGAAAATTCATTTTCTTGTTATCAGAAACGTTTGCCGTTTTAGTCCCCATGACCCGTCACTCTTCTCTTGATTAAAAAGTAAAAAAGGCAAACATGTTTTACAAATCAAATGGCGTTTTCTTAAAAAAGGCGGCCAACATGATCCTTTTTGCTTTGGGTTCCTCTCCACCAGAGCGAGCGAATTAGGTTTCGATGAGCGACTCAACCAACGAGGCAGTGATGGAATCAGCATCGTCGTCCTCATCTAAGATTAAAAGATGGAAGATCTCAGATGGCGCTACGAGCACCAAGCTTCCGATGGATCTGATCATGGAGATACTCAAACCAGTACCGGCGGAAACCCTAGTGAACTTGTGCAAATCGAAGCCATTGGCATCAATCATACGCGACCGTCATTTCAAGAAACTGTTCCTCACCCACTCTTCTTCTCGACTCGGTCGTCTCTTTGTCTCCTTCAGACGTTCAGATGGTTATAATTTACTATCTTCGTCGCTCCCAAGACAAAACCCCCACCCAAGTGTAGAAAGTGAAGAAGGAGAAGCCTTATCTGTAGCTGATACTTACCTTAGGCAACTTCCTTCACGTTTACGCCCAATCAACTCTTCATGGATTCGTGGTTTGATTTGCTATAGGTTTTATTGCTTTGGTCGTTCTACACTTATGGTTTTGTGTTGGAAGCGGCAAAGAGAGTAAATTATAACCATCTGAACGTCTGAAGGAGACGAAGAAACGACCTCATCGAGAAGAAGAGTGGGTGAGGAACAGTTGCTTGAAATGACGGTCGCGTATGATTGATGCCAAGGGCTTCGATACGCCGGTACTCGTTTGAGTATCTCCATGATCATATCCATCACAAGTTTGGCAAATACTGTAAGAGAGAGACAGAGAGACCAAAAACTTAAGGCTTTCAAATTACCTAATAGCTGTTATGAAAACCATTCCTGCATATGTTTTAGGAAGTGCAATTTCCAGCAAACAATACACCTTAATTCGCATAAATGATGTTTTATGCCTAAATAATATCTGAAATGAACTCATGCAGCAAACAAGTTTCGAAGATTAGAAATCGAAAAGGAAGGTTGTAGTTGAGAAACAAAACCAGAGCTTTGCTTTTCTTGAAGACACCTTAGCTTCCTTTGACATTCGAAAGATGCTTTTAATCATGTAATTTCAATACAACTTTAAGGTTTCGTTAACAAATCTACGCATCAGAAACTGCATCATAACTAAAATAAAGAGAAAACATAATAGAGGCTGAGGGTCTCCTTGAGAGATGCTTTGTTAGCCATTCCACTGATCTGCAATTATCCATAAAATTCTACACAATCATCATCCAAAAGACAAATCAATCACCTAAAATCATCATCCAAAATCACAAATCAATCAACTAAAATAGAGTTCCTCTATATATATAGAGATAAAAATAGCAATCTCTATAAATTAGATACAACTTTGACGTATTGTTAACAAGTCTTAGGAATCACAAACTGCATCATAACTTAAGTACAGAGAGAACACAATAACCAATCTAAAACGATCATGACAGTAAAACTAAAACGATCATGATAGTAAAACTAAAACGATCATGATAGTAAAACTAAAACGATCGTACCAAAACCAGAGCGAGATGAAATTTAACAACAAAATCAATCCGATTTAAAACAATCTATCCCAGAGTATAACAAAAGGGAGTTTCAGGTTCAGAGTTACGAACATTGTTAGGGTTTTGAATATCTTCACGATCAAGCGTTTCTGAGTTCCGTCTTCATCTTCTCAATCGTCGTCGTTGCTGCAGAGATAGAGAGAGAGAGAACCACACAACACAATCGGACTTTGAGAGATCGCACAATGATTTTTGTTATATATACGAATTTGAAAAAGGACTGTTGCGTTTCCAATGGCTCAATTAGAGAAAGAAAGATATTTTCTCAAAGGTCGGTGTTTTGTGATTTTTGATATTTTCTGGGTTTTTAACCCAAACGGTCGAAACTCTCTCTCTATTTCATTCATCTCTCTATTTCGTAGTTGAAAAAGATACTTTTTCAGGATTTAATTTAACGTTTTCACGTCCACGGTTTAGTTCTTCTTCTTAACGACCGTTTAAAGGAGGGTGGCCGGTTTTTTACACCATGTACATTTAGCTTTCTCAGCTTATCCTTGATCGGCTCAAATTTACCCTGAGCTACTCTCTCAAATAAGAGATCACTGTAGTACTTAGGGATCGAATCCACAGAGACTCAAAGATTACACAATAAATATTTGGTAATAAATTAAGCTAAGCAAGGAAGGTTTTAATATTAAAAACAGCAGATTAAATTAACGATTGGTTTTAAAACAATAATAAGGAAACGCTAGGCCTAGGGATATTCTCATGAAATTCAGAATTGCAAATAAACAATTGTCATGATTTATAAAGCACCGTTCTTGAACTCAAATCACAAAAATATAATCAATCAACTTTCGTTGCAAAGACTATCTATGTCTAGAACCCTAAATTTCAAATCTCTTTGCAAATTTATAAGTTTAAGACATGCATTTAATTCAGGTTTGATAAGTTCACAAAATTCCTGAACCAAATCTCTTTGCGAATAGGTATTTTGCTCATCTAGATTATATTCAAGAAATCAATAACACTTACGTGTCTACAAATTAACCTAAGATCAGATTCTAGGTTGCTTTCACTACTCTAGAACAAATTAACCACAATCTAGATGAAGAACTCTATTGATTCAATCCTAACAATCTAACAACCTAACAATTCATGAATTCCTTTGAAAACCCTAAACCTAACAAGAAATCTACTCACACATGGTGAATGAATCAAACATCATGAATAAAATAGGTCTCATAAAAGAAAGTAATAGCAGAAGTAAAGGAGTTCTAAATCTTCTCTGAAGAAGGTTTTGATTCTTCTCTCCTGGCTCTCTACAAATCTCTCTCTCCAAAATAAAGCTTAAGTCTTAACAAAACCCTAAAAACTCAATATTATATCTTAACCACGAACTGGGCTTAATTGCAAATTCGAGAAACTTCTGGGCCGAATCTACAAATTTTCTGAACTTCAATTAAGCGTGAAATTCAATTGCCGTCAGATATTGGTGTCGATCGCACCCTAAGTTGTGACGCTCGACACTTACACCAAATATGCTCTCCCAGTACGTTCCTTCGGCACATCTTCTCCAAATGCTCCCAAATGCTCCAAAAAGCTCCAATACATGCCAAATAGCTCTATAAATAAGACTTATATCATGGCCAAAAACCCTTAAAAACCATGATATATCAACTCCTCCAAACTAAGCCTTTGCTTGCCCTCAATCAAAACATAAACTTAACTTGTAAAAGAAGTTTGAAAACGCGGGAACTCACTTAACTACAGGAAACTCTTCTTTGCACTCTTCATCGCCTTGACTCTAGAACTTACTTTATGTACTTTGCCTATGAGAAGCATCAACATTCCTTACTCTAATCCCACAATCCTTAGAAATCTCCAGTCTCTCCATTGTCATCTCTTTACATAATTTAAAACAAGTAAAGATGAATTCTTACCGAGGGAATATCGATCAATGGCATATGGACTCTTCTCAAACCAAGACATTCTTCGTATTATTTCACTTCTTCTCCCTTTTCTCACTTCTAAGGTAATCGACATCTCCCTACTTTTCTAGGGTATCATTTTATTTTTTCAACGATTCCTTTTTCTTCTTTTTTTTTATTCGGCGGGTATCCATGAGATCCGAAGTATGCACGGGTTTACGCGACATCCCTCATATCACTTCTACCTATAGCCTTTTCCACAGTTTCTTTTAAAGAAAAGGAATCATACTTTGAAGAAGTGCAGTGTCTTGTGCGGCTTGAAGAAGAACTCTATTCCAATGTATACCAACTCCCAAGGTAAGATATTAAGTCCTGATAAAATTAGAGAGAACTTTAGATTAACTGGAAATCCAATGAATAAGGGCTTTCAGGATTGTTCATACAGCTCATAGTCATTCCAAACTTCGGTTATGAGATCAAGCATAATCAAGAGTCATAAGAGTGTTAATCCAAATCAGAGAAACTGATCTTAGACTGAGTTCATAGTTCCCTACAAAAATTTTGACTCAATAAAACAATTTTTTTTTTTACTGACTCGATAAAACTCCAAAACAATAAACAAGGTTAGTAATTGCCTCCCCAAGACTTAAACAAAACTGTCCCTAGTGTTACCAAGTCTAAGATTGGCGAATAAAAGAAAATAAAACTAAAATAAATGCAAAAGAAATAGAAAAACTCACAAGTGGGTTGCCTCCCACTAAGCGCTTGTGTTCAGTCACTAGCTTGACTTTGTCGGGGCTCATGCATCCGGTGGGTCGGGAAGCGGCACTGAATGCCTCCGAGAATAGTGTCTCATCATCCAAGGTGGTGTATAAGCATTAGGTATAGGAGATCGACCAATTACACGAGGAACAGCAGCAGGGCATGATCTAGGTATGGGTGGGACACTTCTTCTACCTGCAACATCATGAAAAGAACCAACAAGCGCTCTACGATAATCTCGTAGCTTGGTTAATTGCAAAACAGTCTTTGTACCTTTGAAAGTCTTATTGATGATATGAGAAGGTGTGGGTAAAGAAGTTGCGTACCTTTGCTTTTCTCGAGGTCTGTGGAGTATGGGTGGTGAAGCTTTCCGATTTAGAACAGGGCTCAAGCTTGCAGCAATAAGATCAACCCGAAAACCATTCGTTTTTGGCAAGTTTGGACTGTCGTGACGAGGGGTGTCGATCAACACACTGGTGGTGTCGATCGACACTGAGCCTGCTGCTCGTGTTTCTGCACTTTTTCTGCAATTCATCTCGGCGATCCTCATCTCTAGCACAAAAACGTCATCCTCCAGCAACTTATCAATAGATAGAACCTCGCTCTGGTCCTTAGCAGTAATCTCTTATGAATACTCTTTGACTGCCTTGTCACCCATGGCTTCCTCTACAGAAAAAGTCTGGCCATCAATAGTAGGCGCTCGCCTCAACTTGTCCATATCAAAGTTCATAACCAAATAACCCACATGCAGTCCAATCTTTCCTTTTTGAACATATATAAGAGTACCAGTGGTAGCCAAGAAAGATCTCCCAAGGAAAATAGGATCCTTAGGTTCTTCAACATACTCAAGAACAACAAAATCAGCGGGAATCATGCATTCACCAACTCTTACCAAAACATCCTCTAAAATACCTTCGGGAATCCTTTTTGATCTATCAGCTAAGATAAGAGAGATCCTAGTCGGCTTGAAATCTGTCATCCCAAGATCACAAAGAGAGTGAGGAAATCTTTCTGTGAAGATAGAGCAGTATAGCACGAAACTTCCTGGATCAGGTAACTTCTCCGGAATCCTGCTCTGAATCATGGCACTAACCTTTTTAGAAACAAACACTTCCTTATTCTTTTCTTTGTTACTCTGTGGGGTTTGTTTCAAGAAGATAACACCCATGTCTCTAGCCAGCAAAGCTCCTTTCTCAGGGCTCACATCATTTAGGACCATCCTCTTAACACACCGTTTAAGCATAGGTGAATCCTGATCTGCATGATCTAGATTATCTCATTTATCACCTTTTCCATCATTGCCTTGCATCGAGCTTCTTCCATCTCCTGTTTAGACTTCCTAGGCTTTGGAAAAGGAACCTTAGGCTTGTAGGTCTTTTCTGTAGATGATCGTAGAGTTTCAAGAAAATTTGGTTCTGTCTGTAAGGGATGTCTATCGCCACAGGGAAGGTTTCGATCGACACTGTGATCTGGTGTCGACATGGAAGTGTCGATCGCGGTCGATATTGGTCTGTCAGGAACCGAATCCACGAGAACTGGTGTCAGTGTCGATTGATATCGTGAGATGGTGTTGGGCGACACCTACTGTGCAAGTGCGGTTTTATCATCGTCACTTGTTTCCTCCACCCAAACATCATCTCCACCCCTAATCAAAATGGCATTACACCCTTATCGTTTCTTCACAGATCGAGTAGTCTGTGCAGCAAGATTTTCTAATTTATTGGTATAAGTGCTCAGGGCTTCGATTTTGCCATTCAAGTCAGTGTACATGGCATCCATCTTCCCGTTGAAGTCCACTGTCATGTTCTGCTGACCCGCTAAAATCTGTTCTAGCATGGATTTCATCTCAGTATCTGTAGATGGAGGAGGAGGCGACGAATAAGAAGAATTTCCATAGGTTCTGACGAAACTGCTGGTGCCTTTCTGACCATACCCATTGTCGTACCGGCTACCCTGTGTGTTACCAAACTTCTAACCCAAATATCCAGCTCCACTAACGTAGTTCACACCTTCTTCTTTATCCACACCTAGTTCAAAGGCCTCAACCTCAGCAGCAAACTTAACAGAGTTCTTGGCAACAAGAAGGTTATGCACAAAATCGAGTTTTACCTTAACGTCAGCGAGTTGAATCCCATCCATGTTTTGGGCTAGCTTTTTCCTCTGAAAATCAGCAACTTTAGTGCTGTTGCTGGAAGCTAAGTTCTCAATTAGTTTGGTGGCTTGAGCTGGAGACCTTGTGTTGTAATTACCGTTGCTAGCAGCATCCAAAGCCATTTGGTACCTCCAATCCACAATGCACAATTGGCAAGTTTGGAGTGTCGTGACGAGGGGTGTCGATCGACACACTTGTGGTGTCGATCGACACTGAGCCTGCTGCTCGTGTTTCTGTACTTTTTCTGCAATTCGTCTCGGCGATCCTCATCTCTAGCACAAAAACTTCATCCTCCAGCAACTTATAAGTAGATAGAACCTCGCTCTGGTCCTTAGCAGTAATCTCTTATGAATACTCTTTGACTGCCTTGTCACCCATGGCTTCCTCTACAGAAAAAGTCTGGCCATCAATAGTAGGCACTCGCCTCAACTTGTCCATATCAAAGTTCATAACCAAATCACCCACATGCAGTCCAATCTTTCCTTTTTGAACATCTATAAGAGTACCAGTGGTAGCCAAGAAAGATCTCCCAAGGAAAATAGGATCCTTAGGTTCTTCAACATACTCAAGAACAACAAAATCATCGGGAATCATGCATTCACCAACTTTTATCAAACATCCTCTAAAATACCTTCGGGAATCCTTTTTGATCTATCAGCTAAGATAAGAGAGATCCTAGTCGGCTTGAAATCTGTCATCCCAAGATCACAAAGAGAGTGAGGAAATCTTTCTGTGAAGATAGAGCAGTCTAGCACAAAACTTCCTGGATCAGGTAACTTCTCCGGAATCCTGCTTTGAATCATGGCACTAACCTTTTCAGAAACAAACACTTCCTTATTCTTTTCTTTGTTACTCTGTGGGGTTTGTTTCAAGAAGATAACACCCATGTCTCTAGCCAGCAAAGTTCCTTTCTCAGGGCTCACATCATTTATGACCATCCTCTTAACACACCGCTTAAGCATAGGTGAATCTTGATCTGCATGATCTAGATTATCTCATTTATCACCTTCTCCATCATTGCCTTGCATCGAGATTCTTCCATCTCCTGTTTAGACTTCCTAGGCTTTGGAAAAGGAACCTTAGGCTTGTAGATCTTTTCTGTAGATGATCGTAGAGTTTCAAGAAAATTTGGTTCTGTCTGTAAGGGGTGTCTATCGCCAGAGGGAAGGTTTCGATCGACACTGTGATCTGGTGTCGACATGGAAGTGTCGATCGCGGTCGATATTGGTCTGTCAGGAACCGAATCCACGAGAACTGGTGTCAGTGTCGATCGATACCGTGAGATGGTGTTGGGCGACACCTGCTGTGCAAGTGCGGTTTTATCATCGTCACTTGTTTCCTCCACCCAAACATCATCTCCATCCCTAATCAAAATGGCATTACACCCTTATCGTTTCTTCACAGATCCAGTAGTTTGTGCAGCAAGATTTTCTAACTTATTGGTATAAGTGCTCAGGGCTTCGATTTTGCCATTCAAGTCAGTGTACATGGCATCCATCTTCCCGTTGAAGTCCACTGTCATGTTCTGCTGACCCGCTAAAATCTGTTCTAGCATGGATTTCATCACAGTATCTGTAGATGGAGGAGGAGGCGACGGGTAAGAAGAATTTCCATAGGTTCTGACGAAACTGCTGGTGCCTTTCTGACCATACCCATTGTCGTACCGGATACCCTGTGTGTTACCAAACTTCTAACCCAAATATCCAGCTCCACTAACGTAGTTCACACCTTCTTCTTTATCCACACCTAGTTCAAAGGCCTCAACCTCAGCAGCAAACTTAACAGAGTTCTTGGCAACAAGAAGGTTATGCACAGAATCGAGTTTTACCTTAACGTCAGCGAGTTGAACCCCATCCATGTTTTGGGCTAGCTTTTTCCTCTCAAAATCAGCAACTTTAGTGCTGTTGCTGGAAGCTAAGTTCTCAATTAGTTTGGTGGCTTGAGCTGGAGACCTTGTGTTGTAATTACCGTTGCTAGCAGCATCCAAAGCCATCTGGTACCTCCAATCCAATCCTCTATAGAAAATGCCCAGAAGCTGAAATTTGTCATACTCATGGTGTGGACAATTTCTCTGATATCCCTTAAAACGCACCCAAGCAGCCTTGAAAGCCTCTGAGATCCCTTGAGAAAAGGTAGAAATCTTTTTCCGCAGCTCCTCTGACCTCGCATCATCATAAAAGTTGTTCAATAACTCCACCTTTACATCCTTCCAGCTCGTAAGAGATGCAGGTTTTAACTCCTTAAGCCACGATAGTGCTTCTCCAGCTAAGGAGTGCTGGAAAAGCTTGCAGAGCAGTAAATCCAAAGACACACCTTCTGCCTTAATGCTAGATACCAAGTCTTCAAACTTGTCAATATGGTCCATTGGATGCTCATGAGTATGGCCAAGGAACGGGTGTTGTCCTACAAGAGTGTAGTACCCAGGCTTCAGCTCAAAGTTGTTCCTCTGAAATACAGGAGGACGTATAGCAGAGCGGTTAGAATAAAACAGAGCAGGCCTGTTGTATTCTCCAAGTGTACGGTTCTCATCCTCTACTTCAGCATTCAACGCCAATTGTGCATTGTCAGCTGAGACATGGTGTCGATCGACACCAGCCTGGTGTCGCTCGATACCAATGGCGACTGGTTCAAGAATTACAGTCTCGTCAGCATTCAACTTCTGCCCTTGTGCAATTCTCACATGGCCATCTCCATCTCTGAGAGTACCCTCAGCATCTTGAATGAGAATCATTGGTGGTGCCATTGCTGCATTTTTCTTAGCTTTTCGAATTCCTCTTTCTAAACCCGCTAGTTCTGAACTGTTGAGATCAACTAACTCTTTGTTCTGCTGGCTTCTGGTATTAGGCATAAACCTGAAACACCAAAAAGAAAAGAAAAAGAAAAGCGTAAGTAACAAAATAAAATTTTAAAAAAACACTTAGACTAAACTGTTAACCTTAATCTAATGGTAATCAATATTAAGTCCCCGGCAGCGGCACCAAAATTTGATCGGCTCAAATTTACCCTGAGCTACTCTCTCAATTAAGAGATCATTGTAGTACTTAGGGATCGAATCCACAGAGACTCAAAGATTACACAATAAATATTCGGTATTAAATTAAGCTAAGCAAGCAAGGTTTTAATATTAAAAACAGCAAATTAAATTAACGATTGGTTTTAAAACAATAATGAGGAAAAGCTAGGCCTAGGGATATTCTCAGGAAATTCAGAATTGCAAATAAAGAATTGTCAAGATTTATAAAGCACCGTTCTTGAACTCAAATCACAAAAATATAATCAATCAACTTTCGTTGCAAAGACTATCTATGTCTAGAACCCTAAATTCCAAATCTCTTTGCAAATTTATAAGTTTAAGACATGCATTTAATTCAAGTTTGATAAGTTCACAAAATTCCTAAACCAAATCTCTTTGCGAATAGGTATTTTGCTCATCTAGATTATATTCAGGAAATCAATAACACTTACGTGTCTACCAATTAACCTAAGATCAGATTCTAGGTTGCTTTCACTACTCTAAAACAAATTAACCACAATCTAGATGAAGAACTCTATTGATTCAATCCTAACAATGTAACAACCTAACAATTCATGAATTTATTTGAAAACCCTAAACCTAACAAGAAATCTACTCAGACATGGTGAATGAATCAAACATCATGAATAAAATAGGTATCATAAAAGAAAGTAATAGCAGAAGTAAAAGAGTTCTGAATCTTCTCTAAAGGAGGTTTTGATTCTTCTCTCCTGGCTCTCTACAAATCTCTCTCTCCAAAATAAAGCTTAAGTCTTAACAAAACCCTAAAAACTCAATATATATGTCTTAACCACGAACTGAGCTTAATTGCAAATAAGGGAAACTTCTGGGCCGAATCTACAAATCTTCTGAACTTCAATTAAGCGTGAAATTCAATTGCCGTCAGATATTGGTGTCGATCGACACTCACACCAAATATGCTCTCCCAGTACGTTCCTTCGGCACACCTTCTCCAAATGCTCCCAAATGCTTCAATCCATGCCAAATAGCTCCTAATCCCGAAAGGACTCAAAAAGACTCGAAAACACTATAAAAGCTCTATAAATAAGACTTATATCATGGCCAAAAACCCGTAAAACCATGTTATATCAATCCTCCCAAACTTTATTGCCCTTAATATAACACCATCAAGAACTTAATCCTTTATAAAACTACATACACTTTGTTTTCCTACATATTAATACGCCTCCTATCAATCTTACAATAACGATGCCTAAACCGTGATTAACCATAAAATAGCGTTTACTATATCGCGATTAGGATAACCCATTCACTAATCAAATAATCCGACATTGATACGACGTCGTCATTTGTTAAGCTGAAAAATTTGGGATTTGGGGTTCATTCACTCGTGTGTTTCTCATTTGCGACATGCTCAGTTCTCTCGGAGCATTTCGAAGTCGAATGGATTTTCTCGTTAAACAGAGAAGCTCCGATGCTTTCGTTATCGATACTCCTGAAGCTTCCTCGATTCGAGCCGAAACAAATCTCTGAATTTTACAAAATCGGTATGCCTTTGATTTCACTATCTCTGAACTTTTCTATCATCTTCCTCGCGTTCTACATCGTGATGAGGAAAAGAAGTATGAGCGCTTATTAGACAAGTATCTTTACAACAATCCAGAGGTAACACAATCTCATTCGTGATTTCAATGGTAAAGTTGGAGATGGTTAGTTTTTGGGAAAGCATCTGTTTTGTCATAGAGAAAGCATTTGTTTAAATGGGTTGATGAAGCATACTGAGAAGATATTAACGTGGTCAAAGAGACTGTTGATGATTTGAAGAAACAAGTGATGGATATGGTTAAGAAGAAGATGAATGAGAAGATTGACAAGTCAGCTTTGAAGACCATTGGTTTTGTTGTTGTAATGATCTTAATGGTCTGGTTTTGGGGAAGGATTTAGGTCTTCCTTTGTTCATGTTTTAGATTAAATCGTGTTGTTTATGTGACTGACTTGTTGGTGTCTATGTGATTTATATGCTGTAACAATTCCGATGTCAATGAAATTTAAATGGTCCGAACAAACTAAACATGCAACAAAACATGAAAAAAATAAAAACCTGCAACTAAACTTGAAAATTCTTCAAACCTGCAACTAAACTTGAAAAATATAAAAACCTGCAACTAAAAATAGCATTTGAACCTGCGAACACTCACTTAAAACCTGTAGCTAAAAAAATAAACATCTAATAGCATTTAATCCTGCATTTTATAAACTTGATAGAATTTGAATCCAAAAAAAAACAAATAGATTCATTGAAATCAGAGCATCACCGGAATCCAAAAAAACAAACTAAACCTGCAGCTACATAATTCATCCAAAAATCACAAATCAACACTTAAAAAATGCAGCTACAACTCCAATTGACTACTTCTTTGTGTGAGTGTGATTGTTTCAGGTGCTTGAGTTGCTTTTGTGAGTGTTGCAGGTGCTTGAGCTATTTGTGTGAGTGTTTCCGATCCTAGAATAGTAGATCCACCAGCCTAACAACAGAATACAAAAATAGCTCCTAAGTACAAAAACAGTCTCTTTAAGCAGACCAAACAAAATTATTACTACAATCTAAACCAAACAAAATTCCGAACCGGTACTTTTCATTTACTAATTTACTAAACCAAAAAAAATTCATTACATGATTTCTTACATGTTCCTTGACGCTGAAGCTTCTCTGCTATCACATGGCCCTATCAGTCAAACACAAACAAAAGCAAGAGCTGTGCCTTTTCCCCCATCTCCTCTCCTCTCATGGTTATATCTTTGCTCTGGCTATTTCACAAGTGCTTCCTTCACCTCCAAACCCTCCGCATCCAACACCTACCGAGCAATCAGCTTATTACTTTTGCTTCTAAATTCACAACGAAAGATAGGTTTAGTTTTTGCCACATGATTTAGCTGTTCTTGGATGGGTTTGCGTTCTAGAACCATTGGTAAATACACCATTACTTTGGTGTTAGTGTGTGAACGAGATCAGCTATAGGTGTCATCGTTGTTAGTTCTTACAATAACACTTTAGAGAACCACCAGCTCCACTGATAAATGTCCATTATTAATCACGCTTTGAACCTCTATGCATTGTCTTTTTTCAAGTATATTTTTTACAAGTTTGTCGGAGCTGGATTCTTATCCATCCACACATTTAGATAAGATCATGTTGTAAATCTCTTATTTTCATAGATTCTTACCGGGAATAAATTGTGACTCTAGGTGCGGTTAACCATGCACTATTTGAATGTCCTCCAGCGCGGCAATCCTAAGCTTTAGCCAATATACATGCGGGTCCTAATTCTTTTCGAATAGATTTTGTATATGCTAATATGGCTTATTTTTTTCGGCTAATCTCAAAGGTGGGCCCAAACGTTAATTTCCCGTGAATAATATAATATATTTGGAAGATTAGAAATGCCAAGATATTTGAGAGTATAGACGAATGTCCACTACATGTAACCAAATTAGTTGGGGATGAAGCCAGCTGGTCTTGGCTACAGGCTCAAGTTGATGGTGCAGACCAATCTTTGCCTAACCCAATAAGGTCTACTGGGGGCCAAGGAAGATCGGAGTCTTTGGACACAGCTTTTAATGGTTATCGGTGTTTTGTGGATGGGTTTTGGAAGGCAAATTATGTGTTTTCAGGTCAAGGATGGTTTTGTCAACATTCGCAGTATTATGACGACCATGGGTGCATCAAAGCTCCGACGAAGCCTCTCTGCACTCCATACGGAAGTAGAAGCGCTGTTATGGGATATGAGGTGCATGATTTGCCACAACTTTAGAGAAGTTAAGTTTCTTACTAATTGTTATAATATTAGTTATTTAATATATTTATTTTATTTATTTTGTTTATAAATAAAAGAAGCTTAAGATTAAAAGGACAACTTTGCAAACAAAATAGTTCAACTCTATTTATAGAGATAAAAATAGCAATCTCCATAATAGAGGTGGGTTGGAGCAAAATTTGCTATAAAATAGAATTTAGAGACAAAAATAAGGGTGGGTTGGAGATGCTCTTATATGCAAAAAAGTTTATCCCATTACCACTCTAAAGATGAATAGTTTGCATACTATTGTTTGCAGAAGCACTATCTAATGTGATAGTTGTCTTATGCCTTAGAAAAATCTGGCTTTTGCGGTGTACAACAACATGCTAGGATTATTCTGCAAAGCTCTGGTTTCTTTCTCAGGATGCTAGGCATCACAAACTGCATCTCAACTAAGGGGGATGTACTTGAGGGATCTTACAATGCATTGGAATTTTTTTGCATATAAGGTGTGGTACACATGTTCTGAATTTGATAGCGCAAGTCTTCAGAGAACATTCGAGATAGTGTGAACTTTGTAACAAGCGTTGAGAATGTAGGTAAAAAAAGTGGTGTTGGGTTGTCTCTTGACGTCTCTACTTGTTGGAACTCAACATATGAGATGCTTGCTAGAGCCTTGGAATTTAGTTTAGCATTTGCTATTTTGAATTTGTATTAGAGAGGTTACAATTCATTGTCTACAGAAGAAGAGTGGATCGTGGAGACAAAATTTTGTGACCTCCTGAAACCTTTGAATAACATCACAACTTATTTTTCCAGCATTACAAATAGCCTCTGTACTTAGTTTCATTTCTCAAGACATATCAAACTTCTCAACAGTCAACACAATGTTATACTATTTAAAGAGCTTTTTCTTCTGTAAACAAAGTCAAACACCTGAGAAGCAAATGA